AAAAAGTTTCAATGTTTTGATCAGTACTTTCCACCGGAAAAGTCTCTTGGTCTCTCGGTTCTTGATCATCTAATATCATCTCCGCCGAAGTGGAAACTTCTGGAGTCGAATCGGAAATTATAATTGTGCTTTTACTTTGCTCAGGATCAATATAAGAAAAATGTTGAGTAGATGAAGCACCTACAACATTATCTCTTGTAGTATTTTCGGTGTCCAGAGTTTGCTTTGCCTCTGGAACATAACAAACGTTAGGCTGTGATACTGGACACTCAACTTTAGTTGAAGCAATATGGTTTATATGTCTTCTGATTATTCTGTCTTCCATTTCAATCAAATAAATAAGATTGCTCTCTCTCTTCAAAATTCTACCAAATTTCCATAGACAATTTTTCCTACTATCAAAATGTCTCACTCGAACGCTTTCGCCCACCATAAATTTAGAAGATGCTTGATTTGCCACCTCAATGGGTTTTTGAAATCTAACTAAATCTAATTTAGTTCGTATGTCTCTCCCATACATTAATTGAGAAGGTGACTGATTATTTGAAGTGTGGGGTATTTTTCTGTATTGCATTAAAAAATTTTGAAGTTTCAAATCAAGATCTCCTGGGTCATCTACCATCTTCTTTAAAGTATTCTTCATGGTTCCCACATATCTTTCAACTTGGCCATTTGATGCGGGATGATATGGTGCAGTAAATTTATGTATAATTCCATTGGTTTTTAGGAAATTCTTAAATTCCTGTGATGTAAAAGATCCTCCATTATCACTAACCAAAGTTACAGGTAAGCCAAAACGTGCAAAAACACCTCGTAAAATTGAAATCGTCTTCAAAGTATTCATGGACTTGGTAATAAAAATTTCAGGCCATTTAGAATATGCATCGCAAATTACTAAAAAGTATGTTCCTTGAAACGGTCCCGCAAAATCAATATGTACGCGCTGCCACGGTCCTTTCGGAGTTTCCCAACAATGCGGTGGAATATTAGTTTTGTTGTGTAACATAGATTGACAACTTTGACATTTCTTAGCCAATTCTTCAATATCAAGATCTATTCTTGGCCACCAAACGAAAGAACGTGCAAGTGATTTCATTCTCACTATACCGGTATGTGCTTCATGTAATTCTTTTAATACTCTTTGACGAAGCGTTTTGGGCACAACAATACGTGAATCTTTTACTATAGTACCTTCGTTTAAAGAAAATTCTATATCTTTCCCTTTAAATTCATTTTCTTCAATTTTCTTTCCAGTTTGTAAACTTTTGTAAACATTTCTTAATATTGGGTCTTCTTGTGTTTCATTAGCAATTTCTCTATGCGTAACTGGTAACGTTAGAATTTGTTGTAACTGATGAATTGTAACGCCATCCATTGTTTGATTGAAAACTGGAGTGATTTTTTGAGGCAATCTCGAGAGTGCATCAGCATTTAAGTGTTTTTCGCTAGAACGATAAATAATGTCATAATTAAAGCCTTGCAAAAATTGAGCGTAATGAAGCATTCGAGTAGCTACCATACTGGGAAGATTTTTGTTTGGATTAAATATAGAAACTAGAGGTTGATGATCAGTAATCAGCGTGAATTTTCTTCCATAACAATACTGAAAAAATTTATTACATGCCCAAAAAATAGCAGTTGCTTCCTTATCAATTTGACTGTAGTTTTTTTCAGCTCTCGTTAGACTCCTTGAAGCAAAAACAATAGGACGTTCACCATCAGGAAAAATATGAGATAATACTGCACCCAAACCTTTAGGACTAGCATCGGTTGCCAAAATTAAAGGTAGTTTCGGATTATATGCGCAAAGAATCTGATCAGATGTTATTTCCTTTTTAATTAAATTAAAAGCCTGATCACAGATAGATGTCCATCGGAAAATAACATTCTTTTGTAAAAGTTTGTACAAAGGATGTATTTTTGAAGAAAGATCTTTCAGAAATCTTCCATAGTAGAGAGAGAGCAATCTTATTTATTTGATTGAAATGGAAGACAGAATAATCAGAAGACATATAAACCATATTGCTTCAACTAAAGTTGAGTGTCCAGTATCACAGCCTAACGTTTGTTATGTTCCAGAGGCAAAGCAAACTCTGGAACATAACAAACGTTAGGCTGTGATACTGGACACTCAACTTTAGTTGAAGCAATATGGTTTATATGTCTTCTGATTATTCTGTCTTCCATTTCAATCAAATAAATAAGATTGCTCTCTCTCTACTATGGAAGATTTCTGAAAGATCTTTCTTCAAAAATACATCCTTTGTACAAACTTTTACAAAAGAATGTTATTTTCCGATGGACATCTATCTGTGATCAGGCTTTTAATTTAATTAAAAAGGAAATAACATCTGATCAGATTCTTTGCGCATATAATCCGAAACTACCTTTAATTTTGGCAACCGATGCTAGTCCTAAAGGTTTGGGTGCAGTATTATCTCATATTTTTCCTGATGGTGAACGTCCTATTGTTTTTGCTTCAAGGAGTCTAACGAGAGCTGAAAAAAACTACAGTCAAATTGATAAGGAAGCAACTGCTATTTTTTGGGCATGTAATAAATTTTTTCAGTATTGTTATGGAAGAAAATTCACGCTGATTACTGATCATCAACCTCTAGTTTCTATATTTAATCCAAACAAAAATCTTCCCAGTATGGTAGCTACTCGAATGCTTCATTACGCTCAATTTTTGCAAGGCTTTAATTATGACATTATTTATCGTTCTAGCGAAAAACACTTAAATGCTGATGCACTCTCGAGATTGCCTCAAAAAATCACTCCAGTTTTCAATCAAACAATGGATGGCGTTACAATTCATCAGTTACAACAAATTCTAACGTTACCAGTTACGCATAGAGAAATTGCTAATGAAACACAAGAAGACCCAATATTAAGAAATGTTTACAAAAGTTTACAAACTGGAAAGAAAATTGAAGAAAATGAATTTAAAGGGAAAGATATAGAATTTTCTTTAAACGAAGGTACTATAGTAAAAGATTCACGTATTGTTGTGCCCAAAACGCTTCGTCAAAGAGTATTAAAAGAATTACATGAAGCACATACCGGTATAGTGAGAATGAAATCACTTGCACGTTCTTTCGTTTGGTGGCCAAGAATAGATCTTGATATTGAAGAATTGGTTTTGTATTGTTTGGTAAAAATAATTTAGCTTTATAATTTGAAATTTTTCCAAGACCTGGTTTAAAAACTTCTGGAAAATTATTTTTAAGTTCTTCTATAATTTTTAATTTCAAGAAATCTGGGATATTTTCATTTTGTAATTGACAAATTTCAGGTAAATCGACTTTAATTTTCTGCATCCATTCTCTCCCGAAAATAGGTTCAACTTTCCCTGGTAAAATATATAAATTTAGTAATTCAATTTGATTATTTAATTCAACCTGGAAAGTTGAATAGCCGATAGGTCGAATTATTTCTCCAGTGTAAGTTCTTAAAGGTAAATTTGTTTTTTGCAATGTTTTTTTTGAAAATTTTGCGTTAAACAAATCTTGTGAAATCGATGAAACTGCAGCGCCTGTATCATATTCAAATTTAATGGATTCTCCATCTAATTGAAGATTTAAAAGAATTTTGCCTGGTTTTTTATAAGCCTCAGGTAAGCAATTATTATCTAGTACGTTCATAAAAAATAATTCTTCATGCTGAAAGTTGTTTTCCATTTCCTCTGGTTCTTCTTCCACTTGATGAACATTTTCTCTCCTAGGAGTTCCCCTGCATGCCTTAAACACGTGACCATATTTTAGACATCCTGTACACTTTGAATTTTTGTGCTTGCATGTATTTGCCAAATGTTGTGGATCACCGCATCTGTAGCACTTTCGTTGAAAATTTAACAAATTCGAAGGAGATATGTTTTTTTGTTGTTGTTCAGGTTTAAATGAAAATTTTTTAATTTGATTTTGAAAAGAAGTACTCGCACATGTTTGTAAAGAATGTATTTCTCTGGAATCTTTTTGTGCTAATTCCATAGTTAGTGCTGTATCAACGCAGTTTTTAAATTTATTATCTGGTTCTTTAAGTTGAATTAGTCTTTCAATTAAATTAGAATTTCGCAGACCACTAATGAACTGAAGACGTAAATGGGCATCAGACGTCGAAGCTTTGCAAGCATCACAGACAAACTTACAATTTGTCGTCATCTTTTTTAATTCAGTTACGTAATTTGCAATAGTTTCCCCTTCTTGTTGGACACGTTTTGTAAAACGGTTTTGCTCTGCGATTATACTTGAAGAAGGATCAAGATGGTTTTGTAAAAGAGAAACCAAAGTCGTATAATCTTTAGATTTAGGATCATCGGGACATGTTAAAGAGTGAATAAGTTGTAGCGTTTTGGTACCCATCGTGTGAAGTAACCATTCTTTCTTTTTAGTATCAATATAGTCTGCGGAACCAGTGAAGTTCTTCATGGAAAAAAAATTGTCTAACCTTTTTATGAACATCTCCCAACTTTCATTTTCTTCTGAGAATGGATCTATTGAAATGGATTCTTGAGTAATTGGAGTAGTATTTTGATTAACTTGTAGAGTCTTTGTAAGTGCAGCCATCAAAGTATTAAATTGTTCAGCATTCATTGTAAAAGGGTTTCTTCGTCCTCGTCGCCAATTTATTATGTATTTACTTTGATTATGGAAGTACAGTATTTGAATAGCAGATATGATAAGTTTACTGACTATTTAATATGAACTTTATTTTCACATATTCTGACATAATGACATACAACAATTAACTGGTAAAGGTGAACAATATAATTTAGTGCATAGTGGACACTACAGTACCTACCTATTTTTAAAGGTCAAGTGGTTAGATACAGTTAAATGTTTTTTTTTTCGAGTATATTTATTGCATTTATTATTTATTTCTTGTCAGTACAAAAACACTTTACTATAGGCTCCCATTTAATAATAATATACTCTCTGGACTTTAAATTTATTAAATTGAAGATTGAAGGTCGCTTGGCTTATAAACAATTAGACACTTACCATTAAACTTGGATAGCTTACAATCACTCTAAGATCAAAATAAACTGGTGTAACCGCCCCACTACCGGTGGTGATATTCCCAAATTTGATGGCATTGGCCTTAAAAAGCCTTATCGCGATATCCTTCAACATTAGGTTAGATTCGGTCATGTTTTACGCACCCGCTAGACTGAAAATAAATGAAAGACCGCGAACTTTGCTATCAATTGTTATAAATATTCTAGGTTATTAACACGTGGCCTTATCACAACGATTCAACGAGTCTCCTCCTTAGCGCGTACCGCGTACCCAAATTTGTTTGTTTTGGTAATAGGGACTTTTTCTGACCCAAATTTGGTGCTGTTGTGCGATCAATGGCGCAGGTAGTTTTTTATAATAGATTTGGTGATGTAATAGAAAAACTGCACCAATAATTTAATGTAGGCACAGCAAATTATGTTATACCTACTACTCCTAAAATCAGCTGCAGCAAATTGTTACAATTCTGCTATAACTAGTGCCGACGTTCATGTTGTGGAATAAATTCGAGGCGAGATTTTAATTATTTTTTATTTTTAATACTTGTTCTTATAAATATTTTACAAGTTACCTACAAATAGATGCCAATGTTTAAAACTAACTATGTAACTAGCTAACATGGCAAACCCATTATTGAAGGTTAGCTCATTTTAGGTCAAAATTCCAGGATATGAGAGCATATTGCATAAGGAGAGTGACCTGACCTGTGACAGTGATCATACTAGGTACCTACTGAAAAATCTCATCTATCTCTGGAAGAGAAATCGATTATACATGAAACAATTGGAGCAAACATTACAGAGCAGTCTGTACTTCCAATTTCCAAAACTTTGAAGTTGAAGTGCATTTAACAGCATATCGAAGAAAGTATCAGCGGTGCAACATTTGAAGTCCTAGAGGCAAAAACGAAAAAAATAGAAGAGTACAAACATATAATATGGTGGTATAGAGAAATTAGGGAACGACATAGCACCATAGCAGACAAAAGGGAGTAAAACCAACAATAGGTACTCACCTAAAGTTCAAGTAACACGAGAGATTAAGAAATATAGATATAAAGCACAAGCAGGAGTGCGGAATAAACTAGTAGAAAAAAAAAATGAGTCACGGGAAAGAAATTGTTAAAACGCATGTTAATACTTATTTGGGAGGACAACAACAACCAATGTTATTTTTAATATTTCTACCACAATAACACCCCAGTCATGGGAAGAGAACATGTCATAATCCAAGATGTAGACGTCTTAAAGGCTCATTTACGACTGGCAAAGATCATAAAATGATAAGCAGTAAATTGGCCATAAATGACAGACTAGAAAGAGTAAAGAAATTCCAGAATTTTTACTGCTACAAACTTGTGTTTCTAACTACTGCAGTCAGTGCTATTTTCAACCAATGAAATTCGCTCTGAATGGTTTATGATTTTTGTGATAACAAACTTTTTGAGGCTGGTTTAATAAATTTGGACGTAAAAAATTATACCTTCTTTAGGAGAACGTCAAACTGCGAAAGCCTGTGCCAATATGGGGAAGTTCGAGTTGGGTCCCAATTCTAGTAGGTATGGGATACTTTTTGTTCGTATTTTATTAAAAAAAAATCCGGGGCTGGGCTCAAACCTGCGGTGACACATTCAAAATCAAGAGTCTAACCACTGAGCTATCAGGGTATCTCAAAAACTTGTGTCCTACACTTCTAGACATCATGATGATGCGATTTTAAATTTTAGGCAAAAGGGCGAGAGAGAGATAGTAAAGAAGGAGACATAGGAACTTGTATGAACTTGTACAGCTGATGGTTTTATTGTAATTGGGTGTAGGGAAAATTGAGTGAAATTTAAAAATAGACAGAAAGAAGAGACTTGTCGGGCCGATTATTTTAATGTAATTTGGGGTGTAGGGGAAATTGACTCATTGAAACAATATAGGTACCACCTAATATAAACAATACTCATAAAAACAATTATTTATTTTAAAAAAAAAACTAAAAATCCTAGGACGGACGAGGAGGCATCAATTCTCCTCCCAATCAGGATTGTTTTCCCTCGGATCGGCAAGGTCTGGGGGGTAGAAATTATTCGCCGAATCCTCGTGATCTCGGAAAAACTGCTAAAAATTAGAAAAATCATGTTAATAATTTTACCTAACTGCAAGAGGATGAATAACATTCATGGTTCAAATTAAAAATGGTCAAAGAATAGAGGAAGCTGTAGCTAATTACGGGTGAAAGAAAGTACATAAAGTAGATAACGCTCAACCCAATTCTAATAACTATAGTTGAATGGGATCATTAGTTAGTTTTCAATTCAAACTAGGTATGAACTTTCTTATAGTTGCATGCTAATTGTGCAAAACAGCGCTGAAATATTAATTTAAAAATAAAGTTTACCTGGTGCCTCTCATCGTGCTCCTCCTCCACTAACTCTCTATCTACGTAGCCTTCATAGGCTGGAGGTTGGGGTGACGGAGTATCATCAAAATGTCTCTCGTACAGAGGACCATTTTCCTATAGGTCCCCAGCGAAATTGTCTCGAACATCTGAAAATGAGAATAAATCATATTAATAATTTGACCCAACTGCATACGGTAGAAAAACATCCAGACCCTAGTATACAAATTGAAAATTAGATGCCAATGAAGAAGAGAGGAATTTGTAGTAAATTATAATAAGCAGTGAAAAGTTGATTTTTAATTTAAACTATGTATTATTATGTATAATAACTGCGTTGTAATTATGGAAAAAGGTTAAAATAATAATTTTAACAAGCTAGTTTACCCCGTCTAAGCTCTCCTCATCCTACTACTAAAATATAGTTTCTAACTCTTGCGGGATGTAAAGCTGCTGTGTATACTATACTGTTGGCGAAGAGTACCTACGTGGGTATCAAATTGTAACCTGAGTCATTGTCATGCTGAATTAACTGCAGCTCAGTTACAAAAACAGTTCGCTGCCAATTCTGCAAAAGGTAATTATGGTGAAAGAAGGAAAAAGTTTCCTACACTGCCCAAATCTAGTACCGATTTTTCGTTTTGCCCTGGATAAGATTACGCCAATTTCAACTCCGGCAAGAAAATTGATGGAGAAAAATACAGGAGATATAGGATTACCCAGTGAGCAAAATTTGGACTCATTTAAGGAATAAATACGTAATTGTATTAGATCTATGTGCTTAACAGCACACACATGTGTCGAAACCGCAACCTCTATGTGTCTTTTATGTGTGGGAAGTGGAGCACCGTGGCACAACACATTTAGGGACAAAAATGGGAATGGTTTTGGTACTTGTGCCTTTTCTGTCAATTCTTTTATGACACATTGCCGACACATTTGCGAAACTATGTCTGCCGCAAATCCGTAATTATTTGCCACAAATTCCACTAAATTATTTTAGAAATCGCCAATAAGACTCTGCTTACACAAGTTAGGAATTACATATTTGCATTTTTTTGTATTTAATGTTTCTTTTTACAATAGATCTTGCAAGCCGCACCGCGTGGTATATGCGCCCCTGCGGTCATCATCGACTCTCTCATAAAAACTAACATGTCAGAATTGTCATTGCGATAAATCATAAATATAATCCAATAATACTGACTTTTCTCAAGCTAACAAAAGTAAGTTTTCTTTGCGGCGATAGCTTTTCTGTGTAATTTTTCCATACACTATTGTAAGACAATGGGGCCTTCAAATAAAAAATGTATAATAAAAATATATTTTTTTAAATATAATTAAAAAAAATTATATGTAATAATAATTTTGGTCAAAAAATATCACCATAGTTTAAATATTATATTGACAGGAGTTATTGTAAGGAAAAACGCACGAAATACCTCCCCAGCAAGATAATAGCTAAAAGAGTATCTACAATGGTAAACAGTGCATTTATAGGCCTTCACGGTACTAAGGGAAAACGCGCGAATTATCTACTCTATACATATACAAACTAGCATAGAGTACGAGGGGAACCACTGGCAACATACTCTACAATATGAATGTACCAAGAATATTATCTTGGTGATAATTTAATAAATCAATCAATGAAAAAGGTACAAATATGGCTACTCTGTGAGAAACATTCACCTAATAATTTCAACAACATCAACAAATTTACAAAATATTTCACAGAGGCACAGAGATTACAAAATACTGGTTACACTCAGACTTGCTTCAAGATTGAATTCTAGCAATTTTTACTAAGGGAACCAACAAAAAGCTCGAACCCTTTTCGAGAAGGCTCGACAAGCAATTCTAGACCCTAATTGTTATTGAAATAAAAGGTCATATCGCCTATTCTAGTCATGAAAGCTTTCCACCTGTGATAAGGATAACTGTTGTTCGACTTTTATGAGGGAGCTTTCTTGAAATTTTCAATATAGGAATTTTGCAATGCATCAGCGAAAAAAATGAATTTACTTACATATGGGCATATATTTTGTTCATAACATACCTACCTGCCAGCGCCAGAATTGATGTTGAATGTCACCATTCATTCCACAATAAAACACGGTACCAGACAGAACAAGTTCCCTGTAAGGTTCCATTTAGTTTTCCTTCTCGCGGATTCCTCAAAATAGAAAAAAAACTTATTAGATACTAAAAAGTTCTGTTACCCTAGTTTCAGTTAAACCTTCGGAGGCACCAGCCACCAGCCACTATAGGTCCTATTAAATTAAATTTAGAAAATGCCTACTCTTACGCTTCTATTGTTGGGCATTATGGTAAAATTTTAAAAATTATTAATATAATCACAGTAAACATTGGTGGACACTCTCCCACTGTGGTAGTACCAGAGAATAACTTCACACAACACAAACGACTAACCGACTAGGGGTGGGAAACTATCGATAGTAATTATCGATAGTTTGCTACACTATCGAACTATCGATAGTTCTACTTGGACAATCGATAGCAGTCCTCCTGTCTTTTCTCATGTCAGCGATGTCAAGTGTCAAGAAATATCATTTTACATTCCATCTTTCATCAAGGCTCTTGAAGTAGATAGGTTGTCTGGTAATGGGTAATTTGATGACGTCATCTGTTCTGAGGTCTCTTGAGGATTTGAGACACCCCAGATGACGCCATAAAAGTACAGGCAACCTATCTCTCTCAAACAACCTTGAGGTTTCCTCATATTTATGATTGTTTTTTATTTTGGTTCTGATGGTATGGTACCTATGGTAGTTGAAAGTTGAAATCAAAATTAAAAACGATGAAGATGAGTTATGTTTTCAGTTATCATCAGTTAACAACAACAACCTCCACAACTCAACTACACTTTATTTCAGTTCATATTGGTGCTTATTTCT